CCCACCTCACCCAGCCCGGGCCCGGGTGTCGGCCGGTGGCGGGGCGGGCGAGGGCGCAAAATAGCTGCAGTAGTTGTAGCAACTGGACAAACATTCCAGGGAATTGCCCGAGGTGTGAAAATCCGAGGCTTGTGTGGATTTTCTAATTAAAATCCAATAAAGGGCCCAGTATTACCATTGTGATTTCTGGAATAAATAGGAGACACTCTTGGAAGAGGGGACACTTCCACGTCGCCCCTCCTTTTCTTCCTCGGCTCGCCCTCTCTGCAGCTCGCGGCCGCCCCCTCCCTATTTGCTCAGGTGCACCCCCCCCCCGTGTGCAATTCACACATGGTCTCTCCGGCCCGGGCCCCACAGGCACTATTTGCACAGCTAGGCCTCTCCTGCGAGCACTCGAGATGTGTATTTGAATTTTAAATGGCCCGGCCTGCTCAGAGCGCTGCGAGCGCCGGTTCTCAAGGCCCCTTGACTACTCTCGCTCTCGGCCCTCTGTCGCTCTCCGAGGCTCACTGTCCCGGTGACAATAATTGAGGTTGGGGCGGAACGCGGGGGGCCCCGGGGGCGGGGAGGTCCCCATCTTCTTTGCATTCCAATCTCCGGGATCATGCGTTTTGCAAATAGAGATTGCGAGAAAGGACCTTCCTGCAGGACTTACAGAAGGTTTTTAATCTGCTCATTGCTTTCTCCGGCATGAAGTGCGGGGCCGGCAGTGGGAGGCCCTCCGGAGCCCCCCGGAATGCGACCCCGGGCGCCGGCCAGCCCGAGTCGTCGAGTCGCACGACCCCGCTTGACACGCAGCGCGCCGCGCCCCCGCCCGCGTGCGCGGAATGCGAATGAGCGGCTCGGCGCGGGATTCGCGCCCGGACCCTCGCAGGGGGATCACCGCTGCTCACTTCGGAGGAGACCTCCGGGGAACCCCGCCAGGGGGACCCCGCGGGCTGGGGAGGCCCGGAGGAGGCCTCGCGGTGGGGCGCAGTGGCGAGGCCGGGAGGGAAGGGCGCGCCTGGGGCCGCCGCGGGGCGGTGGTGTAGGGGTTCCCGCTGCCCTATTTCCCACCCAGGCTGCAGCAGGTGGGGTCTCCAGGGTGACCCCCGCGGAGCCCCGCGATCTGGACCACACGTGGTCCCCGAGTCCAGCCGAGCCCCTCCCGGGCTGTGAACCGCCCTCAGACTTCGGTGGCGTTTTCTTTACCTAGGAAGCGTGCCCCTACACTCTGGAAGTGTAGTGTTGCGCCGCTAACATTTGCCTTTAAAAGACAGTTTAGGAAACGGGAAACGGGAAACGGGCGGGGTGGGGGCGGCGCAGGAGGCAGAGTTCCTCGGAACTGCGCCGTGAACCGCCTTGCTAAATGCAGCCGCTTGTGCTGAGGCGCAAGGTGTGCACCCGCCCGGGGACCACGTGTGACAGTGCCAGCTCCCGTCGCAGCTGTTCCTCTCGGCAACAGCGTGTGGCGCCGCAGGGCCGGGGAAGCGGGGCCTCCAGCTGCAGGTCGGGGAGGGGCAGCCTTTGCTGCTGCTGCCCCGAGCCCAGGGCACCCAGCGGCTCCTAACAAGAACGGACGCTGCTGCGCCTTCGGGCTCCAGAGGGGCCAAGTGGTAACTACCGGTCTCTAACTCCCACCAGGCTTCTTCCCAAAGACCTAGCGAGTGAGTTAAGTGAGTTTAGACACCCCCGGCTCCCAGCGGGGAGGAGAGAGCACTTCCAGCATCCACGCGGCCCCCTGACTTGTGGCAGCCCAAACGGGCCCCGTCTGAGAGGAAGGACCTAGGCCGACCTGCCACACCCGCGGGCTCGCCAAGAAAGGCTGGGGACACGCTGTGTCCCCAGTTGTCCGTCTGCAGCGGGGCTCAGAAAGCTGCACCTGGGCACAGGAGGGACCGGGGGCCATCGTGGCCGCAAAGGTTGGGGCGATGCCTGGCTTAGGGGCCCCGGGGTTCATCTCAGGTGGAACCCCAGGCATCACCCGCCCCCGTCCGTCCGGAGCATTTATCCTCATTTTTCTCCCCTCAAGCGGGACCAGCAGGCACACAGGGGACCTCATGACCTTCTCAGGGGACAGCTCTGCAGTGAGGGGAGCAGTGTGTGGAGGGTTAGGAGACCCTCAGAAAGGTGGAGGGGAGGGGCTCACCTGCTTTCACTGAGCAGTGGATGTGCGCCTTGGACTCATAGTAGACCCAGTCGAAGCCGGCCTCCACGGCCAGGCGCGCCAGCATGCCGTACTTGCTGCGGTCACGGTCAGAGGTGGTGATGTCCACGGCGCGGCCCTCGTAGTGCAGGGACTCCTCTGAGTGGTGTCCATCCTCATCCCAGCCCTCGGTCACCCGCAGCTTCACTCCAGGCCACTGGTTCATCACCGAAATGGCCAGGGCATTTAACTTGTCCTTACACCGCTGTGGAGAGAGGGACCCAACGGCAGGCACATTAGCTTGAGGCCCTAGTGCCATCCCAGCCCTCATCAGGCAGCTGCCTAGCCTGGGGGCGGGGTGTGCGGAGCATGGGGAGACCGGAGAGGGCATTAGGTGGGCACTAGATGGGAAGAGGCACGGTATCCCCGGGGGATTCCTCCTGCATCCAGCCGCAAAGGCAACTCACACGGCCAGTTTTTTTAGACCAGGTAAGCTGTGCATTTCAGGCCCCAGGCCCAGAATCCCCGGGGCATCATCAGCCACTCTGTACCTCTCTCCTCTGTACCCCCTTCTGCACACCTGTGAGAGGTCCCCCTGCCCCCTTGGCCCGGGTGCAGCTGGGAGAGATGGAGGACAGTGCCCGACACCAGGGAGCCGGAAGCCCTGCTGTCCCTGGCCTTCCCCTGCCCCCTTGCCTAGCCTCGGTGAGAATGAAGCCAAAGGTGAGGGCTCGGTGGCAGTGTCTGCTCAGGGCGGAGCCCGCCAAGTGCAAGGCCAGCAGGTGAGTGCGATGCCCGGCACAGGCAGGGCGGGAGGACAAACATTCTTGGTTTGGGCAGCCACATTCTTCTGCGAACTCCTCTCTGCCAGGCCTGCCTGTGGCCTGGCCTGATTGTGCTCTTGTTTTCTTTAACCTGTTCTCTTCCTCCCCTCTTGTTTTCTTGGTCTGGGTGTAGAATGGTGTCCAGCAAGTTTGGAGAGCAAATGTAAAGGGGGGCAGGAAGAGGGGGATGGGAAGCTTTTCTAGGCCTGAGGCCTCAGAGCCCTGGCCTGGAGAGTCTCCCTCGGCCGCTTCTGGGCTCTGCGGCTGTGGGGCTGCCTCCCTCCTGCTTAGGTCACATTGCGTAAAGCGTTCAATAAAGGCAGTGGCGGCAAGTGTGCGTGTGTGTGGTGGTGCTAATTCCCCAGCCAGAGCTCTGTACCGCTGCTGGTGCGGTTCGGGATTGGGATGGGGAGCTGGGGACAACGTAATAAGGGCTCCTGGGGAAGGGGATCCGAGAGGAGGTGGGAGAAGCAATTTCAAGGGGATCTCTGCAGAGGCTAAGGCCCACCTCTAACCTCCTGCAGGCCCGCAGGCGAGGGAGGAGTGATGGACAGGTGGCTGGGAAGGGCTTAGGAGAGGAAAGACCACCTCCTCACAGGCCCTAATTACAGCGGGGGAACTCTGGCCAAGGGCAAGGATCTTGCAAAGATTGCTGCCTGCGCCTTCAGGGGACCCACACATTGCGCAACAGGAAAAGTTTTGTGTATTTGGCAGCAATAAAAACCAGTAATATGGTTGTAGAGTTAAACATACAAGTGGGGGGGGAGGGGGCTGGGGGCGGCCCTGGTAACAGGTCAGTGCTTGCAGGTTTTTGGGTCTGCTGGTAGTTTTCTGAAAGAAAGAAAGAAAGGAAGGAAGGAAGAAAGAAAAAGAAAGGAAAAGAAGAGGAAAGAAAGAAGTCGGAAGGGGAGGGTTTGAGTGAGGTCATCTCAAGGATTGATCGCATTCTCTATGAAGGACAATCAGTAAACCTGGGTCGGTTTGAAGCTTGAGCTTGAAGGTGGGCGCAGACACACACCAAGGTGTGCACACCCCTTCCCCCCATCCCAGGCCCGCTTCTCCTGGGGGTGCGGAGCAGATGAGGCTTTACACCGTGCACCACCCGGTAGTTAGGAGAGGGAAGGCAGGGTGGGCAGGACTCGGGGTGCCTGCATCTTGAGATAGACTATTTCAGCAGACATGGGGGCCCTCAGACCAGGAGCCCCAAGGCCGGGACAGGCCAGGCAACCCACATAGGCCGAGGCCAAGGCCTCCGAGGTGGCACCGGGCTATCATGCCTTCTCATCCACCTGCCCCAGGCCTGGCTGGCGGCTGTGGTACATGCCCCTGGCCTGGCCAGGCAGGATGGGCAAAGCCGGGAGCCCGGCCGGTTATTAATTCGTCGGGTCGTGTGCCGAGAGTCATGCCTAGACCCTGTGCAGCCGCCGTGAAGCCCAGCAGGGCCGCTGGGCCGGGCTTTATGTCCGCTGGGGCCAAGTTGTTCTCCACGCCAGCTCCCGCCCACAGGGTCTACACCGAGCACCCTGAAGAGGGAGGCCAGGGACTTCCCCTGGCGCCAGAGACGGTCAACAGGGACCGGGTCCGCGGCACCCCTCCCCCCAACTTGGGGAGCACCCCTGTCTTCTAGATAGAGAACACTCCCCAAACCCAGGCGCACAGGAGACAGGCTTTGCAGCTTCTGAGGTGGTCCCCGCCAGCCCCCCAGCCTCCAGGTCCCAGCCCTGCGGCTCCCGCCCCGCCGCCGCCTGCACCCTCTCCTGGCACCGCGGCCTGCAGAGAACGAGTCTGTCTGCGCTTCCCCACTCCGTAGTTAATATTAACCAGCAGCTCATGCGTTCCAGAACTGCGCTGAAAGTTCCACTGGGGACGATCTTGCCATGGTTGAGGGAGTCGGGCGGCAGTCACGTTAGAGAGACAGACGGGGAGGGAGGCAGACAGAGGACTGGGTGCACCTGGGCCTGAATCAGGTGGTTACTGAAAGCGAGGGGCCCGCGGGTGAGCAGGTTCCGAGCGGCGCGCACACCTCCTTCCCGGCCTCGACCTCCAGTCCGGCTCCTCCGCCCGCCCCTTAACCCTCGGACCGAGGGGAGCACGGGGTGGGGGAGCCAGGGGCACCTCACACCTGCCACTCTCCAGCAACCCCCGTCTTCAGGGGACCTTTGCGGGTCGAGAAGAGGCTCCCGGCCTCCTTTTCCACTCCACCCCCACCGCGGTTGTCTCTTCCCCCTCCTTTTGTGTGGGGAACGGGAATAGCCACTGCCTAAGTGAAAAAAAGTGTTTGTTTTCGTTTCGTTCGTCTGAGGGAAGTTGACAGCAGGTCAGAAGTTCAAATGCTGCCCGCGCGCGGCAGCGAGAGCGGCAGGGCGCGGGGCGCCGGGTCCCGGGCGGGGCGCACGGGTAGGGGACCCGGCTGGGGGCTCCGGGTGCGCGCGGAGGCCGGAGGGCCCGGGGGTGGCGGTCCGGGCACCCCGCGGAGCCTGCGCTGCAGCCCGCGGCTTCTCCGAGCGGTCGCAGAGATCGAGAACCTCGGCGGCTCCACTGGGGCCGTGCGCGGCGCGTGGGGCGGTGGGGACCCGCGGCACAGCCCATCCACGCTCGCTCTGAAACCGCAGCCGCGGCATCGATCAGCCCGGAGTAAGTGGAGCTGAAATGCGTCTGCCTGGCTGCGCGGCTCCGCGCACTCGCAGCTCTGCACCAGGCAGCCAGCCCAGGACCCTGGAAAGGGGCGCGGCTGGGACCCCTTCTCCGGCGCCTGGCGCTGTGAAGGGCGTACGCAGACCTGTTTGGCTGGGGGACCTCGGGTGTCCCCGCCCCCGCAGCTTTCTCCTTCATCGCCTCCCTCCTCTCGGGTTCCAAGGGACCCCGAGAAGGCCCCTCCTCCGCGGGGACCGAGGATGACAAGGGGCGCTCCCCCCGCTCCCCATCCCCCCAGCTGGCCGGAGAATTCCCTCGGGCCAGCTGCACGCGCCATGCGCCCCTGGCCCGCGCAGAGTTAATTGTGGCTCGCGCTGCTGTCTGGCACAAGCGAGCGCGTCCACACTCGCGATCCAGATTTAAGGTGGTCGGGAAAGATGCGAGGGAGGCTCCTCCCCGCGGTCCCCAGTCCCGGTCTTCCCGCCAGCTCCGGCCGGCCACCTGGGTGCACGTCTCCTGGGGTGGGGGGGACCCGGACGGGGGCAAGCCGCGCAGCGCAGCGAGGCCGCCTCCCTCCCGCCCTCCCTTCGCGCGCCCTCCCGGCACTCGCCCCGCCAGCGCCTCTCAGGCAGCCGCTGTGCGCACCTAGCCCTAAAGGTAGGACTTGAATATTTTAATAGGGCAATAAAAAGGATGTTGACCTATATTTGCAAGGAAACCCATTTCTAGCTTTATACGTGCATGGAGTTTCAGCAAGTCTAGCATTGGCTGGGAGACTGGCAGCCTGGAAGTCTCAAAGGAGGTGGAAGGATGAGAAGATTTCATGTTTTGCTTTGCTTTTCCCACCGCCTCCTCCGCCACTAATATTTATCCGCTCCCAATTCTTATGCAAGCAGGTTCAAAACTAAAGCAGTGCGACGCCAACAAGTTCTAAGTCCCTCCCCCAGGTACCGCTCAGGGCTCTGGAGAACCCCAGAGCATCCTTAAAGAAATATCAATACGTCTCCCTCTGTGGGCTCCCCTGGGGCTGAGGGAGTCCAGTGCCAGCTCTGTGGCACAGTGGGGGCAGGCTGGGCGCCTCCGCGGCCCCCGCCTCTGGTCAGAACGACCCCTGGCTTCTCCAGGGAGGGTCCCTTGGTGGTGCTGGGGGCCAAGGGTGAGGGTCGTCTTGTGGAGGAGAGCCACAGCCGGGAAGGGAAGCGTGTGAGCTTGCTCACTAATGCTCAAAGCCGTGTCTGCACGGTGACTTGGACGCCACTTTATGATTATGGGGACGGTCCTACCCTCTCCCTGTATCTCTGCTGTCCACTTTTCCAAGTGAGAGCAGACGCCCCCCAATGGAAGGTCTCCCCAAGTCCAGAGCACAGCAGGGTAGGGAAGGCCATCCCTGCAAGACTGATCCAATCAGGGCCACAGTGGGCCACATCCCCTGCTGCTGGCACCCACCCACACCCCAAACTTCCTGGCTGGACCCTGAACCTCCATTCTCCTCCCGGAAGGGGAGAGGTGCAAGGTGGGCAGGTGGGTGGGGAAGGACAGGGCGAAGCTGCCCGCCTTCCTATCTGCTGGAAGAGCAAACAGAGGAAGTCTGGGCGCTTGGTCGCAGCAACCCCGGGGAAGGAGCGCGTTCCACACCGCGCGTGGGTTTCTACCTGAGTCATCAGCCGGTCGGCTCCAGTGTTTTCCTCATCCTTAAATATGATGTCGGGGTTGTAATTGGGGGTGAGTTCCTTAAATCGCTCAGAGTTTCTCGAGATCTTCCCTTCGTATCTGCCGCTGGCCCCCAGGGTCTTCTCGGCCACGTTGGGGATAAACTGCTTGTAGGCTAAAGGGGTCAGCTTTTTGGGGTGCCGCCTTTTCCCGAATCCCCTGCCGGGCCCGCAGGCCAGCCCGGAGCACACGAGCAGCGAGGAGACGAGGACCACCAGCAGACATCTCGCCGGCAGCAGCATCTCGCCCATGGAGCCCAGTGACTTCCACGCTGTCCCCGCGGTCTGTCTGCGCGCGAGCGGGTGCGCGCAGTGTGCGTGTGCGCCCTGCCTTGCGCTCGGCTGCCTCGCTCCGGCTCGCTCGCTCCCTCGCGCGCTGCTGGGCTCTTTCTCTTCCTATATAACCTTGCCCGCCGCCGCTGCGGTGGACTCTCCGCAGATCTCGGCCCAGACAGGGGCTGCGAGGGCAGGCTGCCGGTCGCTGATAGCGGAACTCATCGGAGTTGGGTCGGGAGGCAGCAATCAAGAGACAAAAAGAGTCTGATTTTAAATGGTAGCCAGCCTGGAGAGCTTGTGAGACAGGCCGCCTCTCGCACTATATTATAGCTGGCAGGGGCGCATCTGATTGGCCGCAGCCGCACAAGCTTGTCTTCTGATGTTAACCCTGAAGAAGGCTACATCCCCCCCTCCGTTACTGCTGTTGCTTTATTTTCACCTGAAGGCTTCGAGTTAAAAAGAAAAAAAAAAAGATCTTCCCGAAGATGAAGGCTGGTGGGAGGAGGCACGTTTCCCAGGATAACATCAATTACTGCCGGCTTTGTATACATCTGCAGTTTCCCCCTTTCCTTTCTCTGGAATGGTAGGTGCTTCAGTTAAAACCAACATAAGTTTTTAAAGGACAGTCTAGAGCCTCCCCCCGCATCAGGCAAATACTCTCTCACACGCTGAGGGGCAAAGCTGCCCTGCTCCAATTGAATCCCCACCCACCGCCGGACTCATCCCACAGGTTAATATTCCTGAGTCGGGAGGAAAGACAGCCGGGGCTGCTTCTGGGTATCCCCCATCCCTGAGCAGAGGTTAATAAGGAGTGTCCACAGTTTAAAGCACTGCTATTTGAACTGCCTTAAGCACCTTAGAAAAACTTGAAAATATTGACCCCTCCTTGGGTTGCAATGAACACATCTTGTTAGGGGCAGAGGAGGGAGAGGGGAGCATTCGGAGGACCCCCGGTGGGCGCTGGCGGGGTGGGACTGGGTGCTGCTCCCGAGCTGAGCGGAGAGGGGTGTGGGGGTGGTGGGTGGGAGCTGCTGTGCTGGGCAGCAAGGCTGCACGCACATGCTCACCCTCAGCACACCACCCCCACGACTGATCAGAGCAAAGCGCAGGGCCGGCGGGGTGAGCGGACTGTGGGACTCAGGCTCCTTGCCTCAGCGGGTGGAAGCGGAGCTGGCGCACACAGAGCCCGCAAGCGAGGTGTTGGGGTCAGGGCGCTGAAGGTCAGAGAGCAGCACCCTATCCTAGGAATGCACGCTGTGCCTAGAGGTTAGCGATATTTTAACCTCTGATCTAGAAAACATAAATCTCAGAAAAGTCCTAATTACGCCAGAAAAATTAGACCTGAAACTGTTCCCATGGAACATGCCCTCTCCAGTCCCAGAAGTTCTTCTGGGATGGGACCAGGGTGAAGGTTTCCCTGTGGACTGGAGATCTGGCCCTGATGAGGCCCTATCCTCCAGAGCTCCCCTCGGGCCAAATGCTCTCCCTGGAGCCCAGGGAGCAGGCCCAGCCGGAAGCCCAGGGTCAGACAATGGGAACTTCACAGAGCTTGCTTTGCAGGCAAACTTTGTTTTGATGGGGAGGAGAGGTGCCCTGGAGCCGCAAGCCCCGTACCCTCTCTAGCAGGGTGACCTCTGCTCCCTCACGCACCCCTTCCTCCTCACGGGACTGCAGACTCCGTGAACCCCTCAACCCCAGCCAGCCAGTGGATGAGCAGAGAACCAGCTTCCCCCGAGACTCTCCCGGCCAGCCAGCTTGGGCGACTTGCGTGCCCTGTGCTCTGGGATGACAGACCGACTGGGACACCCTCACCTATCCAGGAGGTGGGCCTGTTTGGCATGGTCGCCTGCCCAGCTTGTGGATGTCACATCACGGCTCCCTGGCCTCCTGACATCCCTGCCTCTGCCGGCCCCCCCGACTCCCTGCACCTGTCGACTGAGGACAGGCCAGTGGGAGGCAGTCCCACGTGACCTCCGCGGTGGAGATGGAGCGCAGGACGTCGGGGTGTTTCAGGAGTGAAGGCCGGAGTGCTGTGTGGCACAGCTGGACTGCCGCACTGGGATCAGCTCCCTCCTGGGCACAGGGGATGCAATTCTATTGCCCTGGGCCACCAGGGAGGGCTACTTAGGCTTCTCCACTGGAGGGACAAAGGACGGTGCGCCCTCCCTCCATTTCCTGCCAGCCCCGGATGCCCAGAGAGCCTGTCAAGGCCGGGCCTCCCAGGGCAGGGGCCGGCTGGGTTCTCAGGGGTGGAACAAGGATGCCCAGGAGAGCTGCCGCCCTGCCGCCTTAGCCGGCTTGCTCCTGTTATGAGGACCTTTGTCTATTGTCTTGGAAGCAAGGCCCTGGGCTGAGGCCCTGGGAAGAGCTGCAGCCCCTGCCCTCCTGCCCGTGCCTGTGTCCTCGACAGCAGACACCGCTGCCTTCCACCTCCAGACACCAGATGGCTCCCTCTCTTTGCCTTTCCCCTAGACCTCGGGGCCCCTCCCCAGGCCAGTGAGAGGCTCCATGCCCCAGGCACCCTCAGAACCCACTGCTGGTTTTCCTAGGCTCTGCCCTTCTTCCTGGTGGAGATTTGCCTCCTTCCTCGGAGGCATCCTCCCTCTTCCACCTTCCCCTCCACCACCTCCCACCTTCCATCCCTCCCCCAATCCCTGCTGAGCACAGGTGAGGCCCTGGCTGCTGCCCCCAGCCCCCCAGGAGGCACCTCCCTGGCCTGCTCTGTCCCCTCCTTCCAGCCCCCGCCGCTAGATGGCCTTCTCACTCTGCCTTGGGCTCCGGCTGGGCCGGTTCGGGGAATTCCCACAGCCCCAGGTCGGAAGGACCCGGAAGCAGGGCTGGCCGTCCACCCCCCACTCCTCTGGGCCCGGCCCTCCATTCCTCCTGCTGGTGTCCCTCCCCTCCATTGCTCTCCTTCTGAAAGCTCTGCACAGTCTCATTCCAGCGGGTCATACAGTCTCATTTTCTTTTTGAAAACTTAAGTTTGGGCAAGCAGAGTCTCTACCGCTACACTTCTCCTTGTGACTGCCAGCCCAGGGCCCCTGGACCTCTGGAGGGAACCTGGCCCCACGCTGCTGTCCTAAGCAGCAGCCCTTGCCTGGCCTGAGGGTGGTGTCTCCAGCTCCCAGGAGAGCCCCAGGCACTGGATGCCGGGAGCCCAGGTGCCTGGCGGCCACGGCCCAGCCCAGGTGCAGGTAGGTGAGCCCAGGTTACAGCGCTGCCTGGGGCAGGCATCGGTGGAGCCAGGGCCTCGCCAGGATGCTCGGGATCTCCAGGGGCCGAGGCCTGGGGGGCCATGTGCTGATGGCTGCTGGAGTGGTGTCTCTTGGCAGCTGTCCTGGGCGCTGCTGTCCCCCACCTGGTCTCACTGATTCCTGGAGTTGGAGAGCTGGGGAAGGGGAGCCCTGCTGTGTGAATCCGGCACTGGGCAGGAACGAGCCTCTCTGAGATCCCTGCTTCTCTTCCTGCCCCTCAGCCCTGGGGCCTGCCGGTTTTTATCATTCTGGTATGGCCCCGCAAGCACTGGGATTTCTACCCAGTCCAAGTAACCCTCTGCGACGGGGTCCTTGGATCCTGCCTGTGTGCACAGGGTATGCAGGTGGAGGGGAAGGGGCACAGCTGGACCCCAGCCCTGTCCTCCCGATCCTGCTCTGCTCCTGTGCCTGTTGCCCCTCCCGTCTGCGGGCCACTTGGTGTCCGGGTGCTGCTGGGAAGTCGTTCATCACCCCTCTGCATGTGAGTGCCACCCAGCAGCTTCCATGGGAGGTCCCAGGCCCCCGCCCGCCTCTCTTCCAGAACCTGCTCTGTTTACTTCCAGGTGGGAACTCCAAGACCTGAGGCGGGGAGCAGAACTTCTCACCTCCGGGTCTGCAGCTGGGCTCCCACCTCAGGGTGCTGTCCTGTCCTACAGGAAGTGGTGTGGCCTAGGGCCCCTTCTGCCCCGGTCACCCTGGGGTGGTGTCCACCAGCGAGGGGTGGCAGAGGTGGACGGAGGCGCTTGTGTGTGAAGGTTCCTCGTGTGCACCTGGGAGGATGAGGGCGTCGTCGTGCCTGGGGAAGACACAGGAGGGGCCTGAGAAGCTGCAGGAGCCTCTGTAATGCGTCTCCCAATGCATGGTCGCCACAGCGGGAGCAGCCTGGCTCTGACCCACCCTGCCTCATGAGCAACACTTTTACTTGCTGCCACTTTTGCCCCTGCTGGGAAGCCCCTTATTAGTCAAAGAATGGCTGGCAGAGAGAATTACTTCATCTGGGAAGCCTTGGTCCACATATGAAGGGGCAGGGGAACTGGCCAGTTGCTCCCAGGAGCAGAATTAACATGGAGGCTCACAGCCCAGCCGTTCCTGCACCCTGCTCAGCCACAGACCCCTGTCAGACCTTTCTTCTTGCAGCATCTAGGCCTCCTGATGTCCACAGTGAAGCACTGCGGAGGGCAGGGCTGTGACCTGGGTGAAGGCGACAGCAGACCCCGAAGCCCCCCGTGAACTCTCAGGGAGTCACTGGCCCCCCTGCATGATGGCCCCTCGCTTGTCTGAAGCTGGAAGTCCCTGGCCCTCAGTTCTGGGAGTCCAGAGCCTGTTCTCAGTGAAGCCAGGATACTCAGGCAATGGTCTGCCCTTGGGGAAACTGAGCCGCCGGAATCAGCCTGCCTGCCAGGGACACCAAAAGCCACACAGGGCCCCCTGCCCTTTGCTGCTGCTGTGTTCACTCACTGCCACCCACGTTGTGCAGGGGACCGGTCAGGAGCTGGCCTTGTCCCCAGCCAGCCAGCAGCCTGGACAAGGGTCCAGAGGCCACAGGGCCTGCCCGACCCCCAGGCAAAGTGGCCACTTCTGAAATCTGAGGGACAGCTGATCCCCCCATCTCCCCAAGGAGCACTGTCCTTTGCTTTCTTTCTTTCTTTTTTGGCACTGGGAATCGAACTCAGGACCTTGTGCTTGCTAGGCAGGAGCTTGTGCCACTGAGCTATATTTCCAGCCCTTTCTTTGCTTTCTTAAAGGGGATGAGGCACACATTCCCTTTAACGTGAAAAATTTGGAGCTAGAAATAACAGAAGCATGGTGGCTGAGGCCTGCTGTGGTGGGCAGATGGCAGAATAGGGTTGGGATATTTTTTGTACTGGGGGCATTAAACCCAAGGCCTTCCCACTGAGCTATATCCCCAGCCCATTTTATGTGCTGTGATCACCAAATACGGTGAATGTTTAAAGCTCTAAAATTTGCTAAGGTAAAAGACACATTGCCCTGAACCCTCCTCAGAATTCTCCCCTTGCTTTGAACACATTCATCCCATCATCTCTGCCGCTTTCTGCTGCAGCTCTGGAAGTGCTCTTTCTTGAGTGTCTTTAGTTGTTCTGTTGTGGCTGCCTCAGTGTCCTGATTCAAAGCATTTCCTTTTCGGGGCTGGGGATTTAGCTCAGCGGCAAAGCGCCTGCCTGGCAAGCGCAAGGTCGTGAGTTCGGTTCCTGGTACCGGAGAAAAACCAAAAAAAAAAAAAAAAAACAAAGCATTTCCTTTTCATGGTGATTTTGACTTTGAGGAGGAGCCAGGAGTCACACGTGCCAGATCTGTTGAGGAAGGTGCATGAGGACACAGCGTCACGTTTGTGTGAGACTGCATTTCCGTTGGGTGGTGCTCAGCAGCAGCATTAGCTGAATTTCTGATCACACCTGATAAAAACACCCTTGAAAGAGGACTTCAGAACTGCCTCAGAAAGTGGCAAGCACGATAGGGTGTTTGAAGCAAGGGGGAGGTTTTTGAGGGAGAGAAATGGCGATGTGTCTTTTATTGTAATAAAAATTCTAATTTAAACACTTACTATATATTTTGATCACCCCTTATATTTTTTATTTTGAGCAGCCTCTCACTAAGTCTCTGAGTTACTCACTTGGGGCTGGAACTTGTGATCCTTCTGCTTCAGCCTCCCAGAGTGCTGGGATTACAGGTGTGCACCAGCAGGCCATACCCAGCTCCGAGATGGAGTGGGAGGAGGGAGGCTGGAGAGTGGGCAGAGGAGGTGAGGAAGGCAGGCTGGGTGGGCTGAGGGGAGGAGGTGACGCTGGGCGGGGAGGGAGAATGGATGTCAGACACACATCTGGACTTCACCATGTCAGCCAAGGCTTGCTTCTTCTGAGGTCTGCACAGAAAGAGCATGGCATGCTCCCTTCTGCCTAGGGCGACAGAGCCGCTTTCTGCCTGGGACCCTGTGGCCAGAGCCACACCCAGCCTGAGGTCGCAGCGCAGCCCCCTTTTCCTGCAGGTGGGGCAGCTTCCTTGCTCCAGGTGGAGCACAGCTTTTATGGTGCTCAGATGAGCACAAGCAACCCTGCAAGGAGGAACCACCACAGTGCTGGGGAAACTGAGGCACAGGCAGGCACCTGATGCTTTCTGATCACGCTCGGGTCCCCTGGCTCTGGCACACACTCAGCATCACTGTCTTGGTGTCCTGTGTCTCTGCAGGGCGGCAGGTGGAGAAGGCTGTGCCCAGCGGCGTGGGAAGGAGGTCACCAGTAAAGGCGACCTGTCAGCAGCCACGGGATGACACCGAGAGTCTGGCCGAAAGCCTCGGGCCTGGGCAGCAGAACTCCTTCTCTGTTCAGTGCTGCTGGCTGGCAAGGAGCTTTCCCGCTGTACCTCGCCTGCTGCAGAGGGGACTCAAGCGGCCCCTCCCTGTTTCACAAACCAGAAGCTGGAGCTCCATGCAGAGGTCTCACTGCGCACTGGCAGGGGCCCAGGAAACAACGGCGCTGAAGCGGTGGGTGGCAGACAGCATCAGCCTTCGGGAGGAGGGACCTCTGCACCGCTGCCCGCCAGCCCTGGTGACCCGTCGCCCTCCCTATGTCTGCTCATCTCCTGCTGAGGACTTCCTGTTTATCACAGCAAGCCGCTGGCTGACGGCCTCTGTGTTGAGGCATACGTCTCTATTTTCCTTTGGGGGCTGCTGCTCCAATTTTGACATTGTGGCTGTTGTTAGTCCCTGTGACTTATCCTCTAATTCCAGAAAAGCCTGCAGAATATGAGTCTCATTTGTCTTTGCAGGACCCCCAGCCCCCAGTTCAGGAGACGCTCGGTAGCGATTTGTCTGTGGAGGGAGTTCCTCGGGAGTTAGCCAGGTAACCCCCGGCCCATGTGCGATGCACCCGGCTGGCTGCCACTTGCACCATCGTCCTGCACAAGCGCCCCAGAGCCAATGAAGGGGCAACAGCAGCAGCGGGGCCTCAGCCCCCAGTGCCAGATGTGCTGACACAAACTCGCCGCAGGCAGAGGTTTTTACCCAGGGGAGGGCTAGTAACAGGCTCAGTTCTTGGGCTTGAGGAGAGGATGCTCAATCTCATTGGGTCAATTTAAATAATCTTACTTCCTGTGCTCCTCCAGTCACTTTGGAATAGCAAAAGCAAGAGGCACAGCGGAACTCCGTGGACCAGCCCTCTGGTACCGGCGTGGGCCCTGTGGAAGGGCCACTCCTAGGAAGTAGCCTCCTCCTGCTCTTCTTTTGGCGTCCTGGCTCCTCACATGTGAGGACTCCCCGGGTGTCTGGGAGAGCCCTGCGGCTCACTGTGGGCTCCTGTGCTGGGCTCTCAAGCGAAGGTGTGCGTGGGGCAGACCTGGGTCAGCATCGCCTCAGGTCCGTGCCACGCTCGGCTCTGACGAGGCCAGGGGCGGTGTTCGGAGGCTGCCGCCTCCCCACTGCTCTGGCTCTGCCCCCTTTCTGTTCTCACCGTGCCGGCAGGAGTTGAGCGTGTTGGGTGTGAGAGATGCGGGTGGAGTGCCCTGGGCAGGGGCACCGTGAGCTCAGCTCTTTCACTAACAGCTCGAGCTGCAGGGCCGGCCCAGCCGGGCTTTGAATCCTTTCCTCTCAGAGGGAGGAACGCTCCTTTGGTTCTACGCTGACTCACTGTCCATGGGCCTGTCTGTCCCTACAGCAGCTCGTCCAGCTTCTGTGGCCAGCGAGGCTCCTAATTGGTGTCCTCCCTTGAGCGCGCTGGGTGCCCCTTGTGTCCGCAGATGGGGAGGCAGAGGAGGCCGCAGGAGAGGCGGGGTGCCCAGAGAGACCAGAGGTATGAGCTGGAGCTGGCCCGCACTTCTCCTGGCCTTTCACCGTGCGGACGGCTTGCCCCAGAGTACACAAACCCGCAGACAGAATCCCAGCTCTGTTTGAGCAGGGCGCAGACAAAGCCTGCCCCGGCCGCGCTGCTCCCGCCATGGTAACCACCGCATTCAGTGGACCATGGTAGCAGGCAAGTATGTGCACGACCGTCTTGGCCTCTCTGTCTCTTCCCACAGGCAGACGGTGTGTGAATGTTGTGTCCATGTTTTCTTTCTTATCCTGACATATTTATACCCTGGGTTTGTTTTGTTTCGCCCTGCTCCCTGGAGGAGGGGTTTGGGTGGAGGTGATGCTGGGAGGGGAGGTCCTTTGTATCAGATTGGTCAAGAATGCGGACCTGTGGTTCCTAGCGCTCGACCACTGGCCCTCTCTCTCCAGGACGCATGCGCCCCTGGACTTGGGAGCAGTTTTAAAACTGCATGCCTGTGTGATCGCACAGCGTTTGAGCCAGCTATTGGCAGAGAAGTAGGTGTAAAGGCTTTGATACCTTAGGCTAGAGCTCTGGGATGGAGGCAGTAAAACACGTAATTAGGCAAATCAAAAAGGCCTGGCAACAACTTTCAAATATTTAGTCACGTGTCATTTCCCATTAATTTACTGTGTGCTCAAACGAGCTCTGAATTTCTACAACTTCCTGGTGAAATGGAAGCAATGGCAGAGGCATGGCTGGCTTTTCCACGTTGTGTGCCCACATCTCAGGGCAAGGGGAGAGCGTGGTATAATTTCTGTGGCAGGAGGGGCCAGGGGAGGACCCCTGAAGATGCCCCCCACAGCTTGTGCTGTGTCAACAGCCCTTTAGCTGTGGGTTTATAGAGCAGCAGCCAGGGTGCTGCAGGGCGTCTGCTCCCATTGGGTGCAGTAGCTCGGTCCCTTTAACAATTGCGGCAGTTTTGCCCAAATCTGCCGCAATGTGACAACTAATCCATCGGTCACCTTTCTCTGTAGAAATAATCAATTCTAATCAGTAATTGCTTTTGGGCAATAGTTCAACTCTGCTGTCATCCTTTGGCTCCGGCACCAGCGCATCGTCTGAGTACTCAGAGGGCAGCTGGGCGTTTCACTGTCATGGTCCTCCAGGCCAGGCCGCGTCCACCCACTCTCACTGTGGAGAGGCGTGTGTGAGAGCCAGGCCAGGTCTTCAGGACTGGAGCCCCAGAACCCCATATTTTCAGAAGACCTTGTGTGCTGTATAGACACAGCCTGCGAGGATGATGGTGGTGACGGTGGTGGTGGCGGTGATGGTAGTGGTGGTGAAGAGGTACCGGAAACGGAACCCTGGGCCTTCCCACGGAGCTAATCCCCACGCTTCCTTGTATTTTTTATTTGGAAACAGGGTCTTGCTACGTCCCTAGGTTGCCCAGGCTGGGCTTGAACTTATGACCCTGCTGCCTCAGCCTCTCAAAGTGCAGGCATGACAGTCATGCAGGACCGTGCCTGGCTCCAACCTGGGGTTATTGAAGTGACTTTCTGGGTGAGGCTTTAATGCAGCACAAAAAGAAGAACCCAGTGAGAGAAGCAGACCAAGGTCAGAGATAAGCCAGAGTCTCAGCCGGCGAGGTTCCTGTGGCCCCATGTCCACAGGAAAGTCACATGGGAGGGAAAGGGCTGTGCAAACAGGTGTGGCTGTGATGCCGGCTCAACGCCCCACGCCCTGTCCCTGCCCGAGGGCTGCTCCGTCCCTTCTCCTGTCTTGGCTTGGCCTGTGTCTACTCAACTACAGGATTCATGCTCATCTCATTTGCCTTTGTAACTTCAAATCAGAGGTTTAATATCTGATAGTCTTAATTACTCAATAATATAGTCCTTCAGAAGCTTAATTAAAATGAGGGACATCTGCCCTGGACTGTGGTGCTAAGGTCGGGGCAGCCGTCTGCAGGGAATCATGGGAAACTGATGCACTTGGAGCATCACAGAGCAGGTGTAAATCAGATGTGACCACCACGGGCCCTTTAGGGACATTTAAAATTGTGACATTTACCTCTTTCTTAAGGTAGAGAAGAAAAAAATTCCACTTTTTAAAATAGAAAAGACCATGGCACTTGCTCCCGGTACAAAGGTTTCTAAGATATTTGTTATGAAGGAATAAAAATCCTATTAAAATATTTATAAATCTAAACAACCCCAGAAGCCACATACACAATTAGGCCTTTTAGCCTTCTATTCTGAAAGCCAGATAAATCATCATTCTGAGAGCAAAGATGAAAATCAAAGTGAACACAAAGTGCTCAGAGGGAGACCGTAAAAGAAGGCCAGGAGCGTGGCTAGAAAATGATCCCATCACAGAGCCCTGCCTGGGCCAGACATCACAGGAAAGCTTTGCCTTTCTGACTCATCGAAAAAGAGAGTGCAGGCCGGGCGTGGTGGCGCACATCTGTAATCCCAGCATTCAGGAGGCTGAGGCAGGAGGATCACTGCGAGTTTGAGGCCAGCCTGGGTTACAAAGTGAGTTCAAGGCCAGCCTGAACTGCACAGTGAGACCTTGTCTCAAAAAGATACCCCCGCAAACAAAAACAAAAATTAAAACAAAAGAAAGAATAAAAAAGAGAGTGTAGTGCACCGGGAGAACTTCATGGAGGCTCGAATCCAGGAGGAAACCATTGGACAGAGGGGCATGGGGACCTGGGGTGCAGACCTTCCACCCAGCCTGGCTTTGGCCCCATCGGCTCCTTAGATTGGGTGTCCAGCTGCAACCAGTTCTGTGCTGCGGGGACAGGTGCCCAGCGCTCTCTGATGCTGGGGCCATGTAGCCGGGCTGTCCCTGTGCTGTCTATGTACTTTACTGCGTGCCTTTTGGACATGCTGGGTCCACTCCCAGCATGTGCTGAGGCCAGGCCAGCCACAAACGTAAGAGCCACCCTGGGCTAAGAGGAGTAACTAAGGCCGTGGGGCCCCAGGAGGAGTCAAGGACAAAGGACCGTGAGGTCCCTTGGGGACCACAGAGCACCCAGCTTGCTTCTGCCTCAGGCAGCAGGGACTCAGCGCCCCGGAAGCTGCGTGACTTCGGCGAGCACGCCCTCCACAGCACTGGGGTCTCGTGTCTCCTGGGGGAGGGTTCTCTCTTCCTGCTTCTCCGCCCCCGAGTCCTCTGTACAGTCAGTTTGCCCCGCTTCTTGGAGCTGCCTTCCCGACCCTCTTCCCTTTCCAGATGTGTACTGGATCTGCAGAGAACGATCTGCACCTTCAGCTCCATTCGCGGCCCGGGCAAGCAGTCCCAGCTTGGCAAATGCGCCACGCTGTGGTGACCACTGCTGCTGCTGAGCCCACTTTCTGAGCTCTCTGTTGGGTGGCAGAGGGCCCTGGGCAGCTGCTGGCTCAGGTGGTCTTTGCACCAAGGGTGCTCTGACAGGCTGAACGGGTAGCCACTTCTGAAGCCCTGGCTGCGGCAGTGTCGGTCTCTCCTACCGTGCAGTCTGAACAGAACGTGCCTCCAGCAGAGAGGCACGAAGTCAGAGGGACTTTGTAACTGGAAGGAGGAGGGGGTGCTGTTGGGTGCAACTGCAGGTGGCCTTATTTACGTAGTGCTGTGACTATTCCGACTTACCCAGGGGTCCCTGGTACTGCCATTATGGAAAGCAGCATGGAGGAGCCCTAAAACCTTAAAAATGAAGCTGCCTAGGATCCTGCAGTCCCACTCCTGGGTGTCTGTCCAAAGGAACTGCGACCCGGATGTGCAAGGGACACCGGTACCCTGTGTCCTCTGAGGCACTAGGCAGAGTTGGGAGGCAGCGGAGTGCTACCGAGGGATGGTAGATAAAGAAAGTGTGGTCTATAAATACAACGGCTATTATGTGGCCTTATAAAAGAACAAAGCCTCGCCATTTCCAACAACATGGAAGACATCATGCCAAGTGAAATAAACCAGGCTCAGAGACGCAAACACAGCATCTTCTCACTTAGGTGTGGAATCTTTTTGAAAAATTCAAACTTACGCTAACAGGGAGCAGAGGGATTGTTGTGGGGGCTGGGATGGGACATGGAGCCCTGGAGCCCTGGTCTGCTGTAGGCAGTGACTGCAGGCATTGACAACGTGCTGCTAGGAGAGCAGGTGTCAAGCGCTCTGGAGACGGAAAAGGCAGAGGTGAGCGGGAGAGGAGATAGGATGTTGAGTAGATTGATAGTAATCACTTCACAGTGCACACATACATCAAAATCTCATGTCGCACACCCAAAATATGTACAATTTTTGTCAATCACACGTCTATAAAATGAATGAAAAAGAGAAAGGTTGCAAATTTGAGCCTGGGCAACTTAGCAGCTGAGTGAGCTCCCATATCAGAATGAAAATGAAGAAATAAATAAATGACCCAGGGCAGGGGACGCGAATCCGGGCACAGCGCAGGCAGGTGATCCGGGGACTGGAAGTCCCTGGGAGGGCCCGAGCTGGCCTCCTTCCTGGATGGGCCATGGGCTGTAGGAGCGGTGACTGGGCCTGCCTCCCCCGGGATGACCTCAGTGACGCATTGGGGATGGTGCGTTCATGGAGTCTCTGGACGGTCAGCAGGAACAGCAGGGGCTGGCACGGCCTCTGGGGACTCCGCACTCGGAAGAGTGACTCACAGGGGGATGGAAAGGAGCAGCACAGCCAGGGTACCAAGGCCGTGCACGGAGGGTGAGTCAAGGCCACCCCCGCCTCTTCCCAGTGTGAATCCGGGGTGTCCTTGCCTCTGCTTCTATGCGCTTGGACTCCCTGCCCCCACACGCGGCCATGCGTGGTCTCTGGTGGGGACTTGGGGATGGCCGTGGGAGGCTGTGTTCACAGAGGCCACTGGGAAGCCCCTGAAGGGACCTCAGTCTGGAACTGAGGCAAAATGGAGGGAGTGGGGTGTGGGGAGGGCACTGTGGGCTGCACAACAGGTGGCAGAGGGGACTCGGGAGAGGCCAGTCCAGGCTGTCTGGAAATGACCGGGTCCAAAGTCTCAGCCTTTCCTGACTAGCAGAGTGGAGAACCAAGCGCTGGCTGCGCTCTGAGGGGCTTTGGGCCCTGTCACCGCCGAGCAGCACCCGGGAGGAGTATGGTCTGC